GAACCCAAGAGTGGAAATAAGTCAGTTTGGTGAAAGTACCTGTGCCACATGCTATCATTCTGATACCACAGAAAAAGTTCCTCTGTTGGAAAATTAGTTGTACGGACAGATTAACGGATGCATCCACCTAAAGGATAATTCCCACTGCGGCTTTTTATAGGCAGGAAAGAGCTCTTTACAACTCAGCTCCTGCTTTGTATAAATTATTAGAGTGAGGGACATGGGAGTACTTTTGGGTAAGGAGAAGAAAAATATAATTTGAGAAAGCCAATCATTTTTCTTGAGTACTTTTAGCAAATTGCTAACATAGTCATAGATTTTCTGCTTAAACCTGTCTTTTGTTTTCCAAGGGGAGATACAAACTTTTTATGTTTCTATTTCTGTACGATCAGCTACAATTGCCATTGAATTGGATGATTCAAAATGGAACCTACACTGTCACTCTCCAATTGGTCTATGTTTATTGATCTGGTCTCATCAAAAATTAGAGATCACACTTAGCAAAATAAGGAATTGCAAAAAGTGAAAAACTACTTTCACTTAAAAAAAAGAAATGCAAGCAATTTCAATCAATCCCTACTTCTCTTTCTTGGACCCTTACCTTAAAGGTACCACATCATTAATAATATTTGCATGAATATAATTGGCTGTTGCCTTTGTGTTCAATTGAAATGTATCAGTTGAGGAGAGCTATGATATACAATGGCTTAGTTTTCAGCTCTGCAGGCTTTCCTATTGAAGCTTTGAGCTGAAATACAGATACACCAACTATGAGAAACAAATGAAAGCTGTCACCAGTGTCAGCAGCAAAAAACGGGGGTCCATCCCACACAAATTATGGACATCTGTATTCCTAATTGGCATCCTTTTGGGCTGTGCCAGCAGAATGGTAGTGCCAAGAGAGCCTGACAGCTTTAGAAAAGACTAGGTATCAGGTTTAGGTGATAGGAGACACTGATGAGGCATAGAAGTCCTTTTGTTTGGAATACTCTCCATATGTTTGTCATAATACTCGTGATTTTTAGTTTCAGGTACCTCCAAATGGCACCCCTTGTCAATACTAAATTTGCTACTTCTAAAACAGATCAGTTTATGATCTTAGGAGAACAAGTGGTATTGATGGTTATATGATCAGAAGATCGTTGGCAAAGATGCATACAAATAGTTAACAAGGTAATGGTAAGAAATGTTGACCTTGATTTGTTTAGCTAAGATGTAAAGATTTTTGAAGGTCAAAGGTGTCCTTGTGTAGTGTTTTGGAGTCTAACTGTGTCTGACCCTCTAACATTAAGCTGCTGTGGCCTGCAGTTTTGAAGAGTGAAGCAAACCAGGGGGAAAGAGAGAAGGGGGAGAGAACAGGAAATGGAGTGAGGTGTTTCAGGAAGTTGTCAGGGGTTGACTGATTGATTCCAGATGGAAAAGGTCAGCCTTCGTGACCCAGGAAATACTCACTAGGGGAAAGAAGTTGGCTTGTGGAAGGGGAAGGCCTGGGAGTGAAACGATGCTGGAATGCACATTCCACTTCCTTTAGTCTTCAAACATTCAGAAATTTTAACTTCTCTGAAGAGAATAATATCAGTGTTGTCATCATTCATCAGAAAACGGTGAAGGAAGTTAAATTCGAAGCTTCGAATGTGCCAAATGTATCTTCACCTCCATAATGTTCATTCTTCCAGAAGTAGAGGGAATGTATGTAAAAGTCAACATGTGTGCGGTTCTCCATGTATAAGAACAACAACCAAACATGACTCGTTTCACATGGTGGAGTTTATGAATTAAATCCTTTACATTTTGCAAATTGCAAATTTGGTTTAACTGGCAGGTTCTTCCAGGTACTTCAGAATCTAAGATATTTAGAATATTAAAAACGGGATCTTGATACACACACACACACACACACACACATTTGGACATAATTTAAAATCTTGTAATAAATTTTGCAGACACTGAAATAATTCAGGTTAATTCCCCTGCTGTCATGAGAGGCCAGTGCTAGCCAGCAAGAGATTAAAATTTATTTCCATTGTTAATAGAAAATAATGAAGTGCATCTGAACCATCAGGGTATGTCATTCGGGAAATGTTCACTTTGGAACTGAGTATCACTCCACCCAAATGGACAATGATGAAATCAGCTGGCTCGAGTAAGCCCCATATTTTGTGGCAGGAATGCACAAGGAGCATTAAAGTACAGTATGACAAGAAGCTTGTGGAATGAATTAAAATGGTCTCAGAGAGAATGCTTTTATTTCCACATCATTCTCAGGCAGGCTGGTTTCCCTCAGTGTGCCTAGTACAGCTCATTAGCAATTAAAGCCTGAAGCACACTCTTGTTTATGTTTTTTTTTTCTGGAGATGACAGTTATGTCTTTGAAAATCCATTCACGCACACAACTTACCAAAGTGGCCTGAATCCTCTTTTTTCTCCGTTTTTCTCCACCTTTTTCTATTGCATATACAGAAGTGAATGCTTTTAACCCCCTGAGTAGGAGACAGCTTCTCACTCCCTTTCACTACAATGTCATCTTGTGCTCTGCTGAGATGGCCCTGAAAAGGATTTGTGCCTCCATACACTTGCCGGCGTGATGGACGTCTCTGTCTTATGGTGGCCACTACATGATAGGAACTTTCTGGAAGGACTTTCCCTAAACTCTTAACATCTTAACATGGACACAATTGAAAACAGACCCAGAGCTAGACAGGCTGTATCCCTGAATTGTAAGCAATTATATTGATAATAATTTTCTGAATGACAACTAAGTTTCCTTTAGATTGATTCTGATGTCACAGCGAGGCAGGGACACCATATCTGCAGTGCACTCACAAGTGAGGAACTGATGTGCGGGAGACACACACAGCTGAGTACGGGACACTATTCTGTTGTCTTTGAATCTCAAGGGCCTGATGCAATACCTTTGAATGCTGGAAGCCCACTTATGTCCATGTAAAGTTTCCTGTATGCTACTGTCAGGCCCATGGCACCAGGCTAGGTGAAATACTTTGTGGACTCATGGCTTCAGGGGTTCTCCCAAACCTCTATTACATTAAAATCTATATTTTAAAAAAATTTACAAGATACCTTCTAAAACTCTAAGGTTAAAAAAAATCAGAAGAGTGTTGCCTTGGGGTGGGGGCGTAGTGGGTAGGAGTGACTGAGAAGGGACACAGGATGACTTTCTGGGGAGATGGACATGTTCTATATCGTGATATGGTGTTGATTACCGGGATGCATCCATTTGTCAAAATTGGGCAGCTGAGATTTGCGCATTCCAATGCATGTAAATTTCACCTAAAAAGGGGGATTCATTATACTAGTCTGTTTAGTTTGTTTGCTTGAAATTATTCATAGTAAAAAATTTTTAAGTGCAATTTCGTGTATTTTATTTCATATTAGGAGGTAAGGCAGGGTCAAGGTTTCCATCACCCCCCCCACACACACACACACACCCTTTATTTCATAAGTAAGGAAGGGATGGCAGAAAAATTTTAAGTAGAATATCAACAAATTTAATTTGTTGCTCAGCTCAGGCCAGGCATTGAACCGCTGTTGCTCAGAGCTCAAACTTTTGAGCGAGCTCTTAACCAACTGAGCCACTCGGCCGGCCCCAGGAAGAATCATTTTAAACACGGCTCCTCATTATGTACCGATTCGATGCCTTTCCTCAAAAAGTCTATACATATGCATGAATATGTATTTAACAAGTTCTTCTCTCACCAAAAACAATTGCCATGCATGACTGACAAGTAGACTCATATCCAGGATGGCTTATCTTCCTGGGTCAAGGAAGGAGGGGGTGGGTATGTTCCAGTCCTCACTTCTGCTACCTTTTCCGGACTGCTCTGGTCTTGGCTGAGCTCTGCTTTTTGGAACTTCTCCCACAGCCCTGATCTGCCGCACTCACGTAGAACTCAACTCAATCTGAATCCTTGTGCTACTTGTTTTTTGTGTTAGCCATGTTTCTCCAGCCTGAAAGCAAGGTCTTTGAGGGGTGAGGTCATGCCTTGTCACTTTTGGTACCAGCCCCTGTGTCCCCCTTTCTAGAGCCTCCCCCAAAACTTGGACTATGGGCGGGGCTCAATGAGTAATGTCATCTGTCCTACTGACTGGTCGAACAGGGCAGCAGTGAGGTAATTAGGAGGGGAACTCATGAATGCCCTGCAAGGAACGGCTTATACATAGTATCTCATTTTATCCTTATTTTATCTCATTTAGCCCTCCAACTAGACATTGTTTATGTTTTACAGATAAGAAAAATGGAGATTTGAAAAGGCTAAGTAATTTGTCCAAGGTTACAAGTTAGGAAGTAGCAGGTGTGGGATGTGAGTTTAGTTTTATCTGACTCCAAATCCATGCTCTTCCACTACTCCACACCCACGCTTCCCCTTCGTCTGGTTAGATACTAAATGTCCTACATTCTCAGCGCTGACTTCCAGCAACCTTATCTTCTCCCCCAAAGTCTGAGCATCTCTAACACTGCTCTCTAGCAGGTGGGGACACCACAGACAAGTCATCAGGCAGCCTGTCCATTCCAGCATTACTTTTGCACATGTCAGAGGTGCACGAACCCATTCCCGACCTTGGACAAAGGACCTCCCAGCTGGTGCTTAGATCCTACCAACCTGATCACACACCATTGGCAATTTGTCATGACTACTGCTCAAGGGTCAGCTGGGGATGATTGTCCAAGTCCTTTGATAGAGAACGAGTTTTCTAGAACCAGCAGGCAGATGGCCAATTTCCCCATTTCATTACCTGGGCATAGTCTGAACACAAATACGTGACGGCACATGGGCAAAGGGAAGTCTCTTTTTCTATGAAACTCTGCCATAATTATTGGAGGACGATAACCTCTTGATATGCCAAAAGCGTGGCCTCGTCCCCAAATTCTGTCCCATCTCTCATTGGCCATATGGAAGTCTGGCAAACAGAATTCTGATACAATTACTACTTTATATGACACTAACTCTACCCCCACCCCTCTTTTTACTGTAAATATGCAGGTTGTGTTGTCGACAACGGTGAATGTGGATGGACATGTGCTGGCTGTTTCTGACAACATGTTTGTTCATAACAACTCCAAGCACGGGCGGAGGGCGAGGAGACTGGACCCGTCAGAAGGTAGGGTTGTCTGCGGTCTGGGTTGAGAATGGCAGACAAATGAAGTTCTCCATAAAGTCCCTCGGTTGAATTTCAAATTTATGACTCTGAGTAGGAGTGGAGAAAGCACACAAGACCATGTGGGTTTTAAAGTGAAGTTGTAAACACCGACTCCCGCCTGCTCTGTTGGAACCCCCACACATCTCCCGGCTGATGCTCAGGCTCCCATGCCTCAGTCTCTTCCACTCAGTTCTGTGTTTTTCTTTTTGTTAGACAGGTATTTCGGGTAAATGTAGGCCTATGACATCTGAATTAAACAGGAACATTACAGTGCCAGACATGTATGAATAAGTGTCAGATGTGTCCTTAAACAGATTGTGGGCAAAACAAAACAATGTGCAGAATGAAACTGACACTAATTGATTTTTGTTTGCTTGGACAAGAAGAAATCATGGTCTGCTCTGGGTAGTTTTCCAAGTGCATTAAAGTAATTAGAAATCCCGGTAACTGTTAAACTTCAAGTTGTCTGAAAAATTAGAGTATATCGAGGAAGATAACTGACAAACCCAAGTAAAGTCCGTGTAAGTTCCCCTTCTTCCACGCTCCCCAACTCACTGGTGGAGGAGGCGTTCGAGCACAGAATGAATGGCTAAACGAGGCTACTATTTCAGTGTGTTTTGCTCTGGACTGCCCACCAGCCCCCACCCCAACTTGGCCCTTAAAATGTGTCTTGTATCATTTTAAATAGGAATTAATGAACTGAAAGAAAATGATTGAATCAGTAAAGAATTTGGAGTGGTGTTAATTCTCCCACAGTGGGCACCGAAGGGGAGAAGAAAACCCCAGGGTTCAGAACTAGGAACCCATCCAGTTTCTTTTGACTGATTGGATGTGATTGACTGGCTGTTCAAAGGGGGCTCATGTTTTTGGAGTCCTGCCAAAGTTCTCTTCCACCTTTGACCCTGTCAGCTTTGGAAATGGAGTGATGGATTGACTTTAGTTATGGCCTGAAAACCATATTGGGTTCCTGTTGGGATGTGAAGTCCAGAGGCTTCGAACATATGGAAGAAGAAGGGGGGAAAACCCTTCTTACAAAGTGAGGAGAGTGATTAGAAATTGTCTCTTGATAGAGCTGGAAAAAACCACCTATGACAGATCCTGCTTTCCCCTCCTCTCTCTAGCACATTAACAGGCCTTGTAAATCTTAACATCTTGGGGCAGAGGAGGTGGAGAGAGAAAAGGGATTTACATGTTGCCAGTGTGGTCAACTTATAAAAATATGGGGAAAAACAACAGAGTTCTGAAAACACCCCTTGCACAATTAGCTAAGTGTTCCATGTTTTTATACGTAGTGGTCAACTCATTAGGCTTTAATGACCTGGTGAAAAACAACAACCAATTAGGGAATGATAGCGAGTCAGCAAAGCTCAATTTGAACTCCTTGGAATCATCAACAGCTTCCAAGAGCAGCCAGTCCCCAAAACTCCAAACTTCAGCCACCAAAGGACAGACGTGACTTTTTCTTTACTATCTTCTTAGCTACCCCCTGCATCAAAGCCATTAGCCCAAGCGAAGGCTGGACCACAGGAGGAGCCATGGTCATCATTATTGGGGACAACTTCTTTGATGGCCTCCAAGTGGTGTTTGGGACGATGCTTGTATGGAGCGAGGTAGGCAAAGGCAACTTGCTTCCCCGATTTTCTTTGGCCCAAAGATTGTTTTGCTCTGGGGAAATTAGCAATTCCTGGAACATCAGCAGCATGGGCTCACATTATTGAGTACCTCCTATGAGCAGGGCACCAAAGATTAAAAGTCAGGTAAACTATAATTTATTGCAGGCGTGGATCCCTTAATAAAAGGTAACTATTCATTGCAGTATTATTTATAATTGTGAAAAATTAGAAATAGCCTCGATATTGGATAATCGGAAAATGGTTAAATAAATGATGGAATATCATTCCATCATGAAAAATTGTGTTTTGAAAAAATTCTAATGACTAGCAGAAGGGCTTATGTTAATACTAAGTGAAAAAAAATCAGGACAACAATGTCTGTGGATGTAAAATATAACACACATCCATAGAAAAGTACTGGAAACACACCAAAGCTTAATAATGGTTGTCTTGGATTATACAATGTTAATATTTTTCTTTATACTTTTCTGTAATTTCCAAATTTTCCAAAATGGATACGTTCTACTTTCATAATGAGAAAAACCAACAAGACATGTTACAAAAAGATAAGTAATGATGCTACGTTGGATATGGAAATTGCCAAATCAATATGTGAGGTCATAGCAATGCAGGAATTTTGGGGGAGGGAGTGATTACAGGGATGGGGACCGGGTGGGCACAGGAGCGGGGAGGGACTTGAGCTGGGCTGGTAGGAAGGAAAGGACCTAGACAGGTTCCACTGAGAGGAAATTCCAGGGTGATAGAGAGAAACATGTGAGATACAGGCCCTGGGTGTTCAGAGCGTTTCGGGTGCTGTGAGTACACCATTTTGCCCCGGTGGGAGTAGTGGTGGGAGATACTCGCATTCTCAGTATCTTGGCAATAACTTGTATAACAGGTGTTTTATTTCCCTGCCCATTCACTCCTCAGCTAATAACTCCTCATGCCATCAGAGTGCAGACTCCTCCCCGGCACATCCCCGGAGTAGTGGAAGTGACATTATCTTACAAATCCAAACAGTTCTGCAAAGGAGCTCCAGGGAGGTTCATTTACACAGGTAGGTGTGAAAATGATCCCAAGGGGACTGGCTCCTAGTTCATCTTTGCACTGATTCTCAGTCTCACCACTTTATAATCATTTTAACATGTTTAGGTCTTTCTACTAGTGTGGAAAAGAGTGAACTGGGTGGTGGGCATTGAAGGGGGAAGTGTAGGTGCGCTTCTAAATTTGTATTTTACGTACGCAATTCCTGCACGGTCCGGGAGATGGTCGTGGCAACTCATTTCAGGAGTGTATCCTCACACGTTTAACTCTGCTGGAACCATGCCAGAACAGACTTTTGTCCAAGCAACCAGATAAAGAATTAGATAAAGTTGCTGGCTATAACTAAATTCTCTTGAAAAAAAGATTCAAGAAAGTTGCTCACTGATGCTGCAGAGTGATTCAATTTATCTTAAAATTTTATGAAAGTATAATTATCTGTTAGTTCAATATTTGTTGAATATCTGCTTTGTACCCACTGCATTTTCTAGGTGGAAGTTACAGTGATATATAACACATGGTCCTTATTGGGAAGTTTAGAACTTTTGGAGGAGCCTGTGGTATATGGCACAGAACAGCTGGAGAATTAGAATATTCCAAATGTTTGGTATTTACCACGAATGGAATATGAGTTCCAGGAGGAGAGAGTTTTGTGTGGACTACAGTAGTGGGAGGGGGTTGCCAGGAGGAGATAAAAATTGAAGACTATTTTTAAGGATGGGGAGGGTTTGGCTAGGCAAAGAGAAGGAGGAAGAATGTTCCAGCTTTGGAAATCTCATGTGCAAAGGCCCAGAGGGTGAGGTGAACAGGCGCCTGGGTGAGAGAGCGCTGGTTCAACAGCTGTGGCAATGTGTTTGGCTAGAACTTAGACCAGAACTTAGCCTAGATGAGCTGTGCACAGGAGGAAAGGAAACCACCAAAAAGCTTAAAAGCTCTGTATGGTACCTAGAGTAGTCAAATTCATAGTGACAGTAAGTTGAATGGTGGCTTTCAGAGGTTGAGGAAGAGGGAACTGGAGTTGTTCTTTAATAGGTACAGCATTTCAGTTTTGCAAGATGATAAGACTTCTGGGGATTAATTGTACAACAATGTGAAGGCACTTCACATGATTAAACTGTACAGTTAGAAATAGTTTAAGATGGTAAATTTTGTTATGTATGTTTTACCTCAATTTTAAATAACAGGGGGAAAAGGCTTGTATGGGAGTTTGGACTTGATTTGGCAAGATACATGACAATATTGAGGATCCCCATGCCACGGAGAGTAACTCAAAGGAGACGAAAACCATAAAAAAGAACGAGTCAGAAATAAAGGATACAATAACGAAAATGAAAAATATAGGGTGCTATGTTTTAGAAAAAAGGGGTGCTATGGATACAGAGATTGATTTAGTTGGGAGAAAAACTGAAGCCAGAGAGACCCACTAGGATATTATACTTTAAAAGAAAAAATAAGGGGTAGAGAGAAAGAAATATATAAACCAAGAAAATATATCTGGCATATTATGAATTTCTATTACTATTATTTTACAGTATATTCTCTTATTTGAATTCAGCCTCCTATTTTTGTCTAAGTATAAATATCTGGTTAGTTATCAAATAGGGGTTGATGGGAGAAAGTTGGAGGAGATGGCCATGGAAGGGAGTGTAACTAGAGAACAGAAGAAACCTGGAGGGCACCTCTGGAGGACCAACATGTAGGGCTCAGGATGATAACAAGGAGCCTGTGAAGGAGACTGAGAAGGGGTGCTTGGTGGGGTAAGGGGACATCAGAAGTTCAGGTGAGGAACAGGTTTCACTCCAGGACACTTTCCATATATAGCGCCCTGACACCTCTATTTCCCCCCTGTATTTGGATGACAGTCTGTGGCCTGGGAGAAGGTTGGTGAGACTAATACTAGTCATGGTGCAACCAATCCTCAACTCTGTCCCGAAGTAACGAACAGTCTCGATCCTCAGTGGGGCTGTAGACGTCTGGAGCCAAGTGTTGTGCAGGCGTGCGTGCGTACATGTGTTAACTTTCTCTGCAAGCAGAGGCTCTCACCCTTGGTTTCACTTTAAATCACCAATGCCCAGGCTGGGTCCCAGGCCAATTAGATCTGAATCTTTGAAGGTAGGACCCAGACATCAGCAGAATGCACATATTTGTTGAACAAACATCAGCTCTAAATTATGCTCAAGGCACAAAATCAATAATATCAGCATGCTTCTAGCAGGTCACAGTTCTAGAAGGGGGAGATAGACACTCACAGGTTACTATAACTGGGTTGAGTCCCAGAAGGGATGTAAATGCAAAAAAGGTTGTCAGAGCACTGAGCGGGGAGTGGCTGACTTTGGGCAATCAGTGAAGGCTTTCCAGAGGAGCTACATTTCAAAAGCCAAGTGGGAACTTACCAGACAGAATGGAGGAGGCTATGATCCACAGTCCATGGAAACAGTGTGACTGGTAAACCAAGAGCCCACATAACTGTGAAAATAATAGATGTTATAATAACTGTAAATTTAAAGAATCTTAGGGATGATGAGACATTGAAGATCATCTGGTCAAACGTAATCTTCTGCAGATGAGAAAAGTGAGACCCAGGGGGAAGTGACTGGCTCACAATTGCCCACCGAATTCAAGGTGGATTCAGAACAAGGACCCAGGTCTCTGGCAATCCCGCCTGGTGTCTTTAACTTAGCAATGAAGTGTCGGCAAAGCACTCTCTTTTCCTGATGTGATGAACCACTATTGACTTATTCATGAAGCGAGTATTGGTTGAGCATGCACACTACACTCAGCCTTGGGCTCTGTGCTGGGGACCCTGCAGACAAGTGAGACCAGTAGGATCCTTCCTTCCTCACCGTTAAGGTGTAGTGATATAAAGGTGAACTACTCATGCCCTAGGTCATACCACCTGGACGCAGTGCTTGGTTTGCCTCTAAATCATTCTTAAATCTTGCACAAGTGACTTAACCTCTTAGTTTCCTCATCTATCAAATGGGATACCTCCCTCACAGAGCTGTGGTGAGGACTAAATAATACAGTGCATGTAAACAGTGGTGTGCTGGGAAAAGTTTAACAACTGGCTCTCCAGGGAAAGGTGAAGGCAGAAGAAGCATTGGTTTATGGAATTTGCTGACTTCCATGGTGCAAATGGTCTCACCATGGCTGACTTCAAGCTACCAATATGACATCAACCAGCTCACAAAATTCCTGAAAATTTAACAACCTGCTCTCACATGCTGGTACAAGCTGGGTCTAGAACACCTCTGCATGTAAAGCACTTAAGATAGAGAATGACTAGATCTTATTATCCAAAAGGTGTTTATTATTAATATTATTATTACCATTAGTCTTATCATCATGGAGACGGACTTGAATATGGCATTACAAAATGTGATGAGGGTTAAAAGTTATATAGGATGCTGGGGATATATGCCAGGGAAATAGGACCTTCTTAAACTAAGATGATAGGGAAGGCTAAGAACAGTTCAAACACAGAACACAGTACATGCAAAGGTCCTGGGGTGGAAAAGAACATGGGATATATTTTATGGCCACTATGAACAGGGCAGAATGAACGAGTTAAAGAGAGTTTGGTTCAAGCTGGAAGAGAGGGTTGGAGCTGTTTGTCTGGTTCTACTCAAAGTACCATGGGAGCCACTGGAGTATTTTAAAGCTGGGGAATACCATGGTCAGACTTGCGTTTTAAAAGATCATTCCAGGAGGAGTGTAGAGAATGGCTTGGAAGCCAGGGGGTACTCAGGGAGGTCAGTTGGAGGCCAGTGTGGTGGCCCCGGCCAGAAATGATAGTAGCTTGGACTAGAGTGCCGGTAGTGGGGACAGCCAGAAGTGGATGAAATTTAGGAGGTAGCATTGACGGGACTTGATGATTGATTGGATGGGGTGAAGGTTGGGGAAGGGAGGGGAGGGGAAGACTCTCGGGTTTCAGGTTTGAAAAATTGGGTGGGTATAGTTTAGAAAGTGATTTTTAAAAAGGTATAAAGTGCTAAAGGGAGTTCAGAGGAAGGACAAAATACTTCCAGCTGGCGGAGAGGTGGGAAGATTTAATATTGTAAAGATGTCAATTAATGAATACATTTTACACAATGCCAATCAAAGTACCAACAAAATGTTTGCGGAAACATTACAGAAGTTCACCTGGAGAAGTAAAGGTGCTAAAATAGGAACCCTCGTTTTGAAAAATGAGAGGGCCTTGCCCTACCAGACATTAAAACCTATTTTAAGTTTCAGTAATTAAAAGAATATGGGGCTTTGTCGGAACATATAGAAATGTCATGCAACAGAAGAGCACATTTAAAAATAAATAGTTTTTGTACACATGAATAGTGTAAGTATATAAGTATCTGTAGAGGTGAGGAACCATCTTAGGTCCATGAGGAAAACACGGAATATTTAACAAATGGTGTTGGGCCAACTAGTTAAGCATTGAAAAAAAAAGTTAGATATCTAATTGCATATCATGAACTAAAACATTTGAATTAAATCATTTTAATTAAGAATGTAGACATTTCAAAAAATTATTATAAACTTGAGCCTTGCCAATCTTCGACAGAAACAATTAAGCATAAATATGGGATTACATTAAAAAAATTTTGCATGTCAAAGTGCCAGTCATTACATCATAAGGAAAAGAACAAACTGGGAACATAATTATTATATGACATATAATCTTACATATAAAAAGATTCATTCATTTATTCAGCATAAGTTTATTTTATGCCTACTATTTTTCAACCACTAGGTTATGCATGCATTGTGGATAAAGAGGTGAACATTAGCTATCTTACAAATTAAGGAGAAAAAGAAAAATACCTAAATTAAAAGCTAGCAAGGAACATCAGGAGTTAATTCAGGAAGGAATACAATTAAGTAATAGCATATTTTAAAAATCCCAACGATTAGTCATTAAATAAATGCAAATTAAGGCAACTACATAACATTTTCCCTCTATCAAGTTGGCAAACATTTAAAAAACAACAACAAAAACAAATAAAAATACCCAGGTTGGCA